TTGTTTTAAAATCAATTTTCATTAAACCACCATTATAATTTATCCTTGTTTAATTAAGTTTTTGTACAACAATGCCCTTATATTTAAAACAAATTACAGACCACCACTGCCACTCAGCCACCACCGTCGACAATTGCCCAACCACTGTTGACAGCCGTTGGAAGTTGTCGAGAATCATCGGGAGGCTCCAATATGGCCGTTTTTAGCCATATTGATGGCCAGAAACGACCATATCGGAGTGGATCTGGTCAGAAATGGCTAAAATAGATCTGGCCATTTCCGGCAAGATCTACTCCGATATTGCCATCAATATGGCCATAAATGGCCATATCGGCAACTTGCGGCGGCAGAAGGTGATGGCCGACGGCAAGCAGTGGTTTGGGGTGGGTGAGGGTGATTTTGTTATAAATTAAAATTTTATATAAGTTAGGGTGTTTTAGCTAAATCTGAAATATTTGTGGTCAAAAGAAATTATTCAAAAATTAATAATTAAAATAATATTATATCTAAAATCTGAAATAATTAAGAATCTTTTGGAAATTCTCACGCGGTTTTGCACAGTACACTCACAATCATTCAGCAATTTCGCTTTTTTTCCATTTGTTGGAGCAACGTTACAGTTATCAAAGAATGCACGTTAAATTTATGCACCAAATAACGTAGTATCAACCTATTTTCTTAAAAAAGAAATTCATAATTAACCGACGGTTAGGGTGATACTACATCATTTGGTGCATGAATTTGATGGACATTCTTAGTAACTATATTATTTTCCATTTGTATATAAAAGGAGTGTTGGCATGCCCGAGTAGAGTTGAGCTTCTGCCTGAGAAAATTCTTCCCATCAATTGCAGAAATAGCTAGCTCTTGCTCACTTTCTCTCACACTCTTTGTTAGTTAACACTACTGCTGCTTCATTATTTTGTGCTGAATCAGAAATGGGTTCTCTTGTGGGATTGATGTACCACTTATTTCGTGTCAAAATCATCACTCTTCTCGCAGAGAAGAGGGTTCACCCTGATCTCTTTGTTCCCGAGATTAACGAGGTTGATATCTACCAGTTTGATCCTTATGACTTGCCAGGTAAGTGAGTTTTATTCTTTCAACTTTTAACTTTAATTCTCTCATTAATTTCTTAGATTCTGAATGGAATTGAATTGTCATGCAGCGCTTTCAGAAACCAAGTCCGAAGACCAGGTGTGGTACTTTTTCTGTGAACCACATTATAAGTATGCCAACAGTAAACGTGCCCACCGAGCAACCGGAGGAGGGAACTGGAAAATAACCGGTCGAGGCTGTGACGTGAAGGATAAAGGAAGGGTGATCGGTAAGAAAAGGACATTGGTTTTCTGCAGACGTGGTAGTACTTCTAAGGAGATCAAGACTGATTGGGTTATGCATGAGTTCTATATCGAGGACAGCCCTTATTATGAGGTGTATTACTTTGTTCGATTCTTATTGCTTGTTCCCTCTTCTTTGTGTTGAATTTGGAAACATTTGGCTTGATGGGTTGTCCTCTTTTCTGATTTGGTGTTGAATTTATCTATAGTAACTCTTCTGTTAACTTTTGTTTAAATATGCTCTGTGATATTAGTGACAAGCTGCATAAATTTAGCTTCTGGGTTGTGTAGAAGATTGAAGCGATTGGTAAATATGCTAGAAGCTTGATTTCGTTTGATTAGGCACTTCAATTAGATTTAATTATAATCTACAAATTTAATTTTGTATTCTGTTTTATGAGATCGTATAGGAACTCGTATGTATCTCAGTTATGTACTTGAATTTTTATTATTAGTGATATCCATGGAAATTATGTAAGAAATTGAGACCTTTCTTCTAAGTTCAAAATCGCCTTGCAGAACCATTACTAATGTGACAAGGAGAATATATTTTCCTTATGAATTATTTTATGAAAGAGTCTGTTGTTTTTGTTTCTCTTTAAAGTCTGGTAGGTAGTATAGAGGCAGTTCTGATCAAAATTTGCTATGTCTGGGAAATAATTGGTACTACAGGATTCTAGGCAGCTACACATTACGTTTTATTTATTTTCATTTTACCTTTATTTAATTTTTTGTTTTTGTAGAAGAATTTTGTTGTCTGTTACATAGAAAAAACAAAAAAAAACAAGTCTAGTGTTTCAACACCCGATGATGGTCAACCGAGTCACAGTCTGTCTTCACATTATGAAAGTCGTGTTACAGAAAATTCTTCTTCGGAGGTGAGATAGAACATGTCTTGTGGTCATGTTTCAATATCAAGTCGGAAACATATCCAGAATTAATACTTCTTTATTTATGGTTATTGGTTCAGGTTGAATCTCAGCAAACAATGAGTCAGCATTTGATTTCTGATTCTAGAAAGCATATTACAGAAAATTCATTTTTAGACGTGAGAAAAAGCATGCCTTATGGGTAGTCTTCGGTATCAGCTGTAGTCTTTGAAAAACATATTCACACAACTAATACTTTCTTTGTCTATGATACTTTTCTTCAGGTAGAATCTCCACCACTATCAAGTGACGAATTAGAGAGTATTTACTCAATGGTGAGGAAAAATATCTTACATAGTTTTCATATCAATTTATACATGTAGACATGGTGCATGAAAACCATATTTAAATAACTATTATTGCTTTTTTTGTCTATGATTCTTGCTTCAGATAAATCCTCAACCACCAGATGAATTTGATGCAGTCAGTGGCTATAATTGGCTGAATCACAGCTCGGTCTCTGCTCTGCAGTCGCCAATTAATCAGTACCAGGGATCCAATTCCTCATACTCAAATGGCATTAGTAATGACTGTAATCTGGGGAGCTATGAATTCACTGGTGGGCTTGAAGATGTCGTGAATTCGCAAAGGAATGTCCAGAATCAATATCCTTGCGAAGTAGTACTGACTCAGTCAGACATTGAAGCAATGGTTAAAGAGCTATCTTGAGGACTTTCCGCCAATAGCATGGGAAAATTAAATAGCGAAGGGGGATTATATTATTACGGTTATGAACACTGTAGACTGCTTTGCTGTATTCTAATTATTATGAGCCTTGTAATTGTCGACCATAATGGTCACATCCTTTTGGATCTTGTTTCAAACACTTTGAAAAAATTCAGCTTGTCAATTATATTTATATCTAAGTATGGCTTAGTTCTGGAAACTTCAAGTATTGTTTAATGGGAATGCTGTTCATATGTCCAGGTATTAAAATTCCATTGAGGAATTTGTTAAGAACAAAATCATATTTCCTTCTCTCTCTCCTTTTTTGATTTTAGTTAATGATTAATCACAAACTTGAATTTTTCCCTTGTAAATCTAAGATGAGGATCCAATGTCTGGAAATAATTTTGCAGTTCAAATATAACCATTAAGAAGGCAGTAATAGCAGGGGAAAAGGTTTGTTTGGTTTTCCTGGGGAGTGGGGACACCCCATTAAAACATAAACAAAATCCACCATCACTGTAATTTGGCAATGTTTATTTCCAGTGTATTTTCTTCATATTCCTTAATTATTGGCAAAAGGTCGTGGTTCTTCATTGATATTAGCAAAAGGTAGTGGTTCTTCATTGAATGATGTTGCTCATATCAGGTATATGGCTGACATAAATTTAATTAGCTTTTGTCAGAAACAGGACGTTATAGTTTTGAGTTTTAACTTTCTAGCCTTTGTTCCAAGAGCCCATCTATATACATAAATAAACCTCACTGCATGCAGCACGCTGGTTTGATTTGGAGTGGAAGAAGCTCATTACAATTTTCCATGATGGAGGTTTCCTTCAGTCTTCAGATTGATTTAATAACAATAAGCAACTTCTTCTCATTTCTGTGGTAGAAAATCAAAATCCCAATACTTGTAGTAGACAACATGATAATCCCAAAGTTTGAGCTTTTAATCAAGATTTAAAATATGAAACTGTTAGGATCTCATATTGGAAGAGAAAATGTTAGGTTTGTCCGTTATAAAGGCTTGAACACTCTCCTTTAACAAAGTGATTTTTCAAAAAGAGTTTTATTCAAGCCTATGAAAGACTTATTACCACCCCAATTGTTTGAGTTGTTAGAGTGCAACACCCAAGAGGGCTGTGGAAGCGTGATGAAATGTTTTGGAAGGAAAAAAAAGGCTTAGACATCCTCTTTTGGCACGGTTTTTTAAGAAGAGTTTTATCCAAACCTATGATACATCCATTGCTCAGCCCAATATACATCCATTGCTCAGCCCAATTGTTTGAATTGTTGCAGTAGGTTTCTATCATAAACATATAAATTATTAAAAATAACCAGGACGTAGAAGACATAAATGTTGTAAGTTTTAGTCCCCTTGCCAAGGAAGTAGACAGACGAAAGTGGATGATCGATAGCGGGGTCTCAGACTTTTTTGAGTAGAACCAAGTATTTAGTTGGCTGTTAACTCCTCACCGGCAATTAGATCCAACCCAAGGGTTTATTCACATGAAATTACCTAACATGTATACTCTGTAAAGCAGCCATTGGAAAAGCATCTGGTTGGGCTTCCACCAATAAAAAAAAGAGAGAGAATATCCAGTCAATCTTTTTTGCTAGATGCTTTGATGCTTTCATATGTGTAATGTATATAAACAAGCCATCTTCCTCTCACTTTGGATACCAAATTCTTTCCATCAAACCCACAAACCTAATTCATACGCTGTTTCTACAGTGTTCTGTTCCTTTTCTATTGAATCTCAGAAATGGAAATGGGTATGTTGTTTATTGATCCAGAAATGAGCAATCTCTAGGGATTTTTATTCCCTCCTACTGATGATGAATTCATCATTTCTCTGGAGTAGAAGAGATTTGACCGTGATTTCTTTGTTCAATTCATATCCAATATTTATATTTAAGGGTGTGAAGCGCCGAACTTATCCGGTAAGTACTGTATAGTGTCAACCATTGAATTTCTTTTTAAATTCTTTATTTATTATGTCATTAGAAAGGCTGGTAATTTTCTAAACAAAGAGTATTTCTGTTATGATTTGATACAGGGCGTTTCGCAATTCACTCGTTTTACCTCGTTTGGTTCGAACCTTAGGTAGAACCTCAACTACTACAGGTAGAACCTCAACTACTACGAGGACTAGTATCGTATGAGTTGTTTTGGGACTAGTCTAAATTGTTTCTCAGAGGTGAGAAAGAGTGCGTAACTTTCAGTATAAGCCATGATGATGATGATGATAACAAATATGTCTAAAGGTTAATACTTTTTCATGATTCTTCAGGTTAAACGTTGGCAACTACCAGTCGTTATATGACTTCTAATGTCACAAATCATGTGCAGAAAATATATTTTCTGGGAGTGTGATAGAGGTAAGAATGGGTATACTCTATTGGATTCTTTATTGACAGTATTTCAATCTAAATTAATATTTGTGGTGTATGAGAAACTTTTTTGAATCTAATGTTATATCAACCTATGTATATTGTAAATGAGCAGCATACACTGTCAGAAAGATATGCCTTAAAAATAATTTTATGTATTAACAGATACAAGTTCTTCAATAGGCACATATTCTTGAACTAATGCTTGATTGTTTATGATTCTTAATTTATTTTTAAACTAATGCTTGCTTGTTTATAATTCTTAATGTAGGTAGAACCTCAACTACTACCATGTAACTTTGGCTTTTGATTTAGGAAATCAAATTGCGAGAAATAACTTTTCTCAGGTGAGATAGAATGTCCTAGCTCTTATGGGTGGTATCTGCTTTCAACTTATACATAGTTTGCATAAAAACACATGGAATTCGTATATCAAGTAGAATTCCATTTACTACCATTCATCATTTAGCGTTTGATTATGGAATTGGTATTTTCGAAAAGTATGTTTTTAGAGGTGACTTGTACTTGCATAAGGACATATCTAAAAGAATTAAAGCTTCGTTCTTTGTGGTTGTTAATACAGGTAGAACTGCAGTATCTACCTAGTCACCATTTGGCTTTTGATTTTGTAAACCGTTTTACATAGAATATTTTTTTTCAGAGATGAGAGAGGGCATTGCTTATGGATTATTATTTATGTGAACTCTGCCTGAGAAACATACCAAAACTAATACTTGTTTGTCAATGATTCTTACCTCTAAAACCTCATCTACTATCAAGCTACCTTATGCATTAGTATTCCGTGACTCATGTGGAAAAATATTGCTTAAGAGATATAGGTGGTTTCCAAATATACACTTACTTTTGTAGTGCTGCTCGATATACATATCTAGAATTAATGCTTCTTCGTCTATGGTTGGTACCTCAGGTAGAAGCACTACTACTTGCAGAATTTGATGCACTCGATGGCTGTAAATGGCTAGACCACAACCTATCCTCTGCAGTGCACTTGCCAGTGGATCTCGAACAGAGAGTTCTTTGTCCGCAACAGTTTGTCCAGGAGAATGCTTGTGTGAGGGAACTGAACACTGAAACCATCAAAGAATGGGTAAATGAATATCCTCCTTTACCTATTGGAGAACGTTACTTCAATAGAGAATTAATCAAAATTAAGTTCTGTAGCGGAACATTATCGTTATTGACCATAATTGTAATATTGCTTATTTATGTTATAATGTATACTACAGGCGCTCTGATTTTTTGCAGCAAAAGGTTACATTTTCTTGGACATGTGTGAAACCCTTGAAACTCAACTTGTTCTTCATATCTATGTCACAGTATAACCTAGTTCTGCGAAACTGGAGCTTGTTTGATGGGACTGCTTGCTCAAAAGAGTACCAGGGCATGCAAATGGTTCATAACCTTATAGAACTCTGTTGAAAAGTGTGCTGGGTTCATCGTGAGATCTACCTTATGCAACTTCATCCGAGATCGGTGTGAGTTTGTCATGAATCATGAGATCTTTGGATTAGAATTTCTGCGAGTCAACTTCTGAAAGAAAAAATCCCTATATATGAACAGAAGAACCTGGAAACCTCAGAATAAACAAAAATCCCACAATTTAGTATCACAGGAATGTGCTCAAACACTCCTTTTTTTTTTTTTTGATAACTTCTGTAACTCCGAACCTGCAACCGCAAAAGTATCTTCTGTTTATGCCAAGGAGAAAGTTTTGGACACTATAATAAGGCCAGGGTAGAAACTTAAAAATAAATGAAGAAAGAACATTTTCCAACAATGTTTCTTTCAAATAGTGTCCAACAGAAATGAGTACTGGTGTTATGTAATCAACATTGCAAGTGACCAAATGGTTGCTAACCTTCATGCTAACTTGTTTGAGTGTTGTTCTTATTATAGCTTAATTTGAATGGTCTGATCAGTTGAGATTTGTTAGCTTAATTTGTTAGTAACTTAAAGTATGACACGGAGAAGACACCGAGAAAAACTTGTGAGGGAGACACATCACCAGCCACTGTTGTTAATGATGTAAGAAGCTAAGGGCATGTTTGGCTTATTATTTCTACCCATATTCCCAATCCTATTCTCCAAATAATGTTTGACACATTATTCCAGAAATATTACCCTATTTTTTTAATTACTTTTAGACCCTATAAGGTTATTAATTTCATTAAATACCCCCTAAAAAAAGTTTAAAAATTAACAAAAATACCCCCGTGACCCATACTTCCCAGATTCCGGCAACCATTGTCAGTGGTAGCCGAAATCTATCACAACGGTGAATTACCGACCGAAATTGACCGGTAATTCATAGATCTGACCTTTTCCAGCCAGATCCACTGGCCATCAGCAACTGCCAAAGATATGGCCATCGTTTTCAGTCAACGATGGCCAAGATGGTCGTCGTTTTTGCCTTTTTTGACCATCAACGGCCATAGCAGGCCGTAGATCTGGCCTTTTCCGGGCAGATCTATGGATTTGCCCAAATTCGGCCAGATTCCGGCGGTGGTGGCCGGAATCTGGCACTGCAGGTAGTGGAGATATTTTTGTCATTTTATATGTTGGGGTATTTATTAAATTAGCAAACTTAGGGGGTTGTTTTGTAAATTTTTAAATTTTACCTCGTAATACTCCCATATTCAATTATCCAATACTATCTCCAAAATCATATCCAAAATAATAAACCAAATGCACCCTAAGTTATTCGTTATTGTTGTAAAGCCAAGGATTGTTTTGAGTAGTAGGATGACTCGTAGTAATCTTGAAATCATATAATAACAATAGAGCTATAAAAAGCAAATCACTCCTTGTTGATCACGAACCTACTAAGAAAAAAAAAGAAAAGGAGAAAGAAGATTCTAGTAAAGGGCCCAAATTTCTTTGAATTTTCCAACTTCTTGTGATAGAAGGAAATACCCTCCTGGTATATTCCATTAGTAATTTCGGTTAAATACAGTACATATTGGTTGTAAAGTCGAAAATATCCTTTCTTCTTCCTCTCTTTTCTTCCCTACTCCTCAACACCAAAATCCGCCACCCCTGTCCCTCCGCCCGCCAGCTCATCGCCACCAGCAGCCTCACCGCTTTTTTATTTTTTATTACAGTAGTGAGCATATCCGTGGAAATTTGGTAAAAAAATTGAGCTATGTTCTCTGCGAAACCACATATATTGTGAAAATTACTCACAGACTGAGTCTGGATCAAGTTATAGATGAATTAAAGTTTTTTGTTCTGTTTTCTCCTTTGGTGAGTATGTACTAAAGCATTCAGACGATCCAACACATTTCACTTTTACATTGTTTTGCAGAAGGATTTTGTTTTCCGCTACGTAGAAAAAAATCCAACGGGCAAGCCTAATACTTCAACTCCCTGATGGTCAACCGAGTCACCGTTTGGCTTCTGATGCTGAAACCTATGCAGAAAAAACTTCTACAGAGGTGATAGAGCATGTGTCTCGGAAACTTTTCAACATCAAGTAATACATAATGCAGGAGGAAAATCAAGATCTAATACTTGTTTATCTATGATTTTTGCTTCAGGTAGAATCTCAGCAACCGTCGACTCACTGTTTGGGCAATGAGTTCTTGGAAGTGAAAAAAATCATCTTGGGAACTTTTCATTACAAATAGATATCTTCTGTTCACACAATTAATTCTTGTTTCTCTATAATTTTTATTTCAGGTAGAATCTGAGTTACAATCAAATCACAGTTTGGTTTCTGATACGGAAATTATTTGCTACAAATACTTCTACCCTGGTAAGGAAGATCACGTGTCTTGGTAGTTTTTGGTATCAACTTATATATATGGTGCATGATAAACTTATCTCGCAATTAATCCTTGTTGTCTATGATTCTTACTACAGGAAGAACCTCGACTACTATCAATCAAAATTTGGGCTTTGATACAGAAATTATGAATTGCAGATAATACTTCTTTAATGGTGAGGATGCATGCATAACCTTATTATGCTCTCTGAACAAATTATATTCTCACAATTAATATTAACGCTTGTTTCTATCTTCCTTCAGGAAGTAGAACCTGGGCTACTGTCAAATCCAATTTGTTTCATGATCCTTTGCACCAATTACATCTCAATGGTAAGGATGCGCATGGCTTATGGTTGCTTTTGTATCAACTTATGCTGTCTGTCATCAAAAACCGTATTCACACAAGTAATACTTGTTGGTCTATATATGATTCTTTACTTTAGGTACAACCTCAACTACTATCAAATCGGCTATGGAATTTGATCTCAGAAATCATTTTGTGCCAAATACTTCAATGGTAAGGATAATTTTGTTTAGTATGAGCATATACACTATATATGGTACATGAACATATTGTTGCTATAAATCTAATACTTGTTTCTATATGATTTTTGCTTCAACCTCAGCTACTACCACATCAAAATTTGATTCTTTAATGGTTAGTAAGAGTTGCTGGTTGTTTTCAGTATTAACTTATAATTGCGCATGAAAATATATTCAACCAGCTAATGCTTGTTTTTATAATTTTTACTTCAACAGGTGAGACCTCAATTACCATCAAATCACAATATGGTTTTTGATCATGAATCATTCTACACCATGTACTTCTTCAATGGTGAGGATGAACATGCTGACTGTTCTTAGTAATTACAAGTATATATTATAAGTAAATGAAATATATTCACACAATTCATTTGTTTGCTATTAATTTTTTCTCGGCAGGTGGACCTCAACTACTATCAATTCAAAATATGGCTTTTGATCCAATAATCATTTTGCATCAATTACCTCTTCAATGGTGAGTATGCACGACTTACAGTATTTTGTAAATCAACTTATATAGGATGTAGTAGTACATGAATAACAGATTCGCGGTGGACTAACGCTTGTTTGTCGATGTTTCTCATTTACAGCAGGTAGAATCTCAACTACTATCAAATCAGAATTTGGTTTTTGATCCAATGATATTCTCAGACCATGTACTTCTTCATGGTGAGGATGAACATGCTAGTTGTTTTTAGTAATTACAAGTTATTATATGGTAAAAGAAAATATATTCACACAGTTCAAGTTTGTCTGTTTTCAATTTTTTCTTCGGTAGTGGGACCTCAACTACTATCAATCAAATCAAAATGGTTTTTGATCCAATAAATCATTATGCTCAACTACCTCTTCAATGGTAGTATGCACGAATCAGTATTTTTAAAATCACTTATATGGATGTGTATTACATGAATAATAGATTCGTAGTGGACTATGCTGTTTTGTCGATGTTTCTCATTTACAGCAGGTAGAATCTCAACTACTATCAAACAGAATTTGGTTTTTGATCCAATGAATAATTTTGCACCATGTACTTCTTCAATGGTGAGGATGACATCTGGTTTTTTTTTCAGTAATTACAAGTTATATATGTGGTAAATGAAAAATATATTCACACGGTTCAATTTTGTCTGTTTTCAATTTTTTTCTTTGGCAGGTGGACCTCACACTATCAAATCAAAATATGGTTTTTGATCCAATAATTATTATACACCAATTACCTCTTCAATGTTAGTATGCACATGACTCATGGTAGCTTTTAAATCAACTTATATATGGATGTATTGTATGAATAACAGATTCACAGTGGACTAATGCTTGTTGTTGATGAGGTTTTTTTTTACAACAGGTGAATCTCAACTACTATCAAATCAGAATTTGGTTTCTTGATTCAAGAAATCATTTTGTGCCAAATCTCTTCCATGGTATGGGGATGAACATGCTCCCTTATGATAGTTTCCAGTATTAACTTAATAAAATATTTCCATGACAAATGTATTTACCAACTAAAATGCTTGTTCATCTGTATTTTTTTCCGGTAGCACATGATCAGCTACTATCAAATCACATTTCTTTTCTGATCCAAGAAATCATTTTGCGCCAAATACTTGTTTAATGGTGAGGATAAGCACGAGTTATGTAGATTTAGTATCATGCTACACATGTATATGGTGCTATAAAAAAACTTATTTACACAACTAATGCTTGCTTTGTCTCCTCTTTCGTATTTCAGTAGTCATCATCAACAAGTTGCAGAATTATTTGCCAATTCACTGACTATTTGAGCGTTATTTGCTGAACATAGCTCAGTGCCCACACCACCGTGGCCAACTAATCCACAAAAGGCCTTTCCTCTTGTACTCAAACGGCGCTTTGGTAATACTGTACTTCCTCGAGCTCTCAGTTTCATGGAGGGCTTGAAGATGCCCGGATTGCACAAAGGAATTTACAGGATAAACATCCTGAAGAAGTAAATAACTAGACGACTTGCGCAGAAAGATAACAAATGGATAGAGAAGATTCTAGAGTGAAGACCTATCAGAAGTAAGAGCTTGAAGAAGGAGATGGTGGGCCTAAATAGACTAGACGACTTGCAAAGGAACGATTTCCGTACACTGTGATTCGACGTCAACCATTACTTAACGGTCCCGTACTAACGTAAGAATTTATCAATCAATCTTCAAATTCTACTAAATGCATATCTTAATCTTTTCATACTTAACTTCTTAAATGGATATTTATATTATTTTCTAATTAAAATGGACCTATATAACCTGACGTGATAATAACACATCATCATCTTCTACAACAAAGAACTAACGTACAGTATTCTACTCCAGGGTTTGAAGATTCTTAACGGTTTATATGCCATGAGTAATGTAACGCTAAAATCTTTCGTGAATAAAGGTCGTCCAACATTTATAGATGTTCGCTCATATTTAATGGATTCTCGTTCATATATGGACGAGCGTCAATCATCATCAAAAAATTTAAAAGAAAAATAATGACGTCCTTTCATCTTATATGGAGGGTGTATATACTATATAGACCCCATCCAAATTTTTTTTAAAAATTTACATTCAATGGACAGCTTCCCTTTTAGATGGACGTCTGTCCATTGTTTAATTTAAAATTTACATCAATTTGGCTCAATCCAAAAATTGAATGAAGTAGCAACATTTATTTTTGTCAATAGTCAAAGTAATTGAACAAGCTTCATTAAATTTTTGTCTATATTCAAGTAATTGGACAAGTCCATATTCTTAACTCAATTAGGATTCACAATTAATGCATTAAATAAATAAAAAAAAATTAATATTAAATGGACCCCGTCATCTTATGAGGCCGACTGTCGATAACAGGGTCCATAACAATTTAGGTCAAATTTTTTTAGTTTAAACTATGAATGAGCGTCCATTCTAGGTGGACGACCATCCATATAATATGGACGGGAATCCATTTCAATGAACGACCATCCAATCCAATGGACGGTCGTCCATATTTGATGATATGCGTTCATTCACTAATATTTGTTAACGGTGATACGTGACTCTTCTGATTTAGTGGACACATCTTTTCGGTATAAAAATTCGGTGCAAAGCGTCGGTGCTCGTAGCATTTTCATATGCCATACTCACTCTCCCTCAATACTACCACTTTTGGGATATAAAGCTCTGCTTCTAAGGGTTTTGATTAAATGACCATATTGAGTTTAAATTTAATTAAAGGCTATCAAATTTCAAACTCTTACTAATAGCCTTATTTTTTATGAAGAGTAATTAAACATGATTAAGCACTAATCATGTTTTAATTAGGAGTATGTCTAATCTTTTAAAAATTATACTATGTCCCCAAAAACCTGAAATTGTTGCAAACAACCCAAACCCAAAACAAATTCATTTTCCTCCTCCCCTCCTGCCATTATGCGTTGAACTGCCCTCCCGTGGTTGTTGTATTTTCTTAGCAAAACCGAAGATCTTCTTCTTCGTTTACTCTTCTTCTTCTCTTCTTCCTCTGCCATTAACACATTTTTCTTCCTTTGCCATTAACATCTTCTCCCCAAGATCTGCCTCTTCCTCCTCCTGACATTTTTCCAAGTATGTGTATCTCCTATTTGCATTTTATATTTCTATTTATAAAGATTTAATGATGGATTGGGTTTGGGTTATTATTTCTATTTAGTGGTTTAGGTTCTTGGGTTGTGTTTGATGTATACAAGTTGAAATAGTGAGTTTGTTAATGATTTTCTTGCATTGTGGGTACTGGGGTGGTAGCACCGATTATAGGTGAGATAACGAAAATGTTTCTAGAGCTAATTGATCGCTTAGCGATTTGATATATCGCTTAAGTGATCTGGTATAAGTCTAGTATATAGCAGCAGATCGTTTAAGCGATCTGGTATAAGTTTTATATGGTATAAATCGCTTAGCGATTAGATATATGGCAGCATTGCTTAACGATCAGGCTTATTTATACCAAATCGCTTAAGCATATACTGATCACTTAAACGATCCAGTAAGTGATACACCAGATCGCTTAAGTGACTTTACAGATGCTTTTTAAAATCTGTCAACCTTAATATATCGGTTAATAATTTTTTTTTCTTGCATTAATATAGGCACTTGGCTATTACTAGACATAGACAAGTTGTTTTGGGTGTTGAATTTTGGTGATGTCTAGATGTTGTTCTGTTTACTTGTTCACTAGTTTCTCTTGGTTGTATGTCAATCTTTTGTGGTACATTAAACTAATTTTATATCCTTGTATTCCCAGCTATGCCACAAGAAGAATGATGAACCGAGAGGTTGCTAAGGCCAACCGTTGAAGACTTATTAGTGAATCATAAACGCATTTTAATTGTTTTGAAGTGCTTATGAGTTTACCTTTTTGTCTCATGGACTTGTTATG